TCCGTCCGGTCCGGTGGCCGCGATGGCCGGCCGAGGAGGAGCCAGAGCCCTCCCCACTGCTCCTGCCCCCGCGGGACTGCAGGCCCCGCGTTCCTTTACGGGCGAGGCGTGATGGGTGAGTGTCCACCCACCAAGAGGTGCCCTCCTCCCGCTCCACCTTGGCCGCCCTGTAGGATGGCCTTCCTGGCCAGGGCGTGGAGGTCTCCGCAGGAGGCGCACTGTGTTCACCCCCGAGGAGGAGCCAGAGCCCTCCCCACTGCTCCTGCCCCCGCGGGACTGCAGGCCCCGCGTTCCTTTACGGGCGAGGCGTGATGGGTGAGTGTCCACCCACCAAGAGGTGCCCTCCTCCCGCTCCACCTTGGCCGCCCTGTAGGATGGCCTTCCTGGCCAGGGCGTGGAGGTCTCCGCAGGAGGCGCACTGTGTTCACCCCTCGCTCGGGCAGAACCGCCAGGGCCCGCCTCTGGGACCTGAGGGAATGGCGGGACAAGGAAGCCCCGCACAGCAAGCGTGAAGGGCTGCTCACTCCCTTGTGCCCTCGGCCCTCCTGTTCACTCGCCTTCAGTGTCTCCTGAGAGCCTGGCCGGTCTACCCGCTCTGGGGTCGATTGGGGCCCTGCTGCTTTACTTGTTCTTTCTTTCTCTCTCTCTCTCTCTCTCTCTCTCCTCTCTCATACACACACGCACCCCTTTGGCTGGCTCAAGGTATAGGGAGCCACACGTGGGAAAAAAGACTGGAGAGGGGAGCCCAACACCATCACCACAGAGAAGTAGGACATCTCTTGCTTGGGAGTGCAGTTTGCTTTGGGCGCATAATTTAGTCAGCCTGAAGCTACCAGGTTCTTTAAAAATTCTAAGCTGGCCGTGGAAATAGCTGGGAGCCTCGCCCAGGAGGAGTCGCTTGCACTTCTGCATGTCTCCTCCCTGCCCCTGAGTCCCGCCCCCACCTCCTGTACTAACTAACTTTCCATTTCCAGCTCTGGAATAGGCGAGGAAGCTAGCAACCAGGGATTACAACTGGAAGCTACTTGCATGAGCTAAACCCAGCTCAGTCCCTACAGGAAGCTGCTGACGGCATTTACCCTTCAAGGTTGGGGACGTTTAGGAGGGAAAGAGCTTCTGTGAAGCTTCCAAACACTAAAAGGACCCCACTGTCCAGCAGTGACCACACAAATACACCCTCCTTCCCAGTGAGCTGGCACCAAGCAGCCTCCTGGCCATTGGAGTAGCTCCTGCAGCTGGCTGGGGGAACAGAACCAGGGGAGTTTGGGGAGGCACTTGGCACACCCCAAAATTTAATATATTGAGAATTTAGTTTGAGACTGTCTCTTCCTCATTGCAAAAGTAGGTGGAATGAAAAATGGGGTGGATTTGGGGGACCTTTGGTGGATTGCCTCTCAGAGCCTCCCCCAAATATTAGAGAGCCAAGGCACCAGCAGCCATTCTTGCTGGTCTCATCTCAATGCTTCCTGAAGTGGCTGTTCTGAGTGTTTAAAGCATGAAAAAAAAAAAAAAAAACAGTTATGCCAAACAGTACATAACAAAACAGTTATTTCTTTTTTTTGTTCCTTTTTGTTTTGTTTAAAACATTAATAAATCCCTACCCATTCTAAAACAGGTAGGTCCGGCCCAGATCTCCTTTTCTGCAATAGTTTTTTTATTTTTATTTTCTTTTTTATTGAATTTACTAGAGGCCTGGTGCCCTTGGGGGATGTCCGACTGCTGGCTTAGGCCTGCTCCCCGTATCAGTCGGACATCCCCAGTGCTGCCGCCACTGCCACTGCACTCGCCAGCCGTGAGCCTGGCTTCTGGCCAAGCAGTGCTTCCCCTGTGGGAGCGCACTGACCACCAGGGGGCAGCTCCTGCGTTGAGCGTCTGCCCCCTGGTGGTCAGTGCGCGTCATAGTGACCAGTCGTTCCGCCGTTCAGTCAATTTGCATATTAGCCTTTTATTATATAGGATTGGGGTGACATTGGTTAATAAAATTATATGTGTTTCAGGTGTACAATTCTATAATACATCATCTGAATATTGTATCTTGTTTTCTTATTTAAACAAATGTGTTTTTCTTTGATTTTTTTATGAATTAAAAAGAATGAAAACACAAAAAAGAATCAGAGATAAAAAATATAATAACTGAAATGAAAAATAAACTAGAAGCAATCAATAGCAGATTAGATTATACAGAAGAACAGATTAGCAACCTGGAAGATAAAGTAGTGGAAATCACTTAAACAGAACAGCAAAAAGGTAAAAGAATCATAATGAAAATGAGGGCAGTTCAAGGGACTGCTGGGACAACACCAAAAAACTAACATTCACATTATAGGCATTCCAGAAAAAAAGAGAACAAAATGGGCAGGGGTAGACAGTTTAATTGAAGAAATAATGGTTGAAAACTTTCCCAACCCAGGTAAGAAAACCCAGGTCCAGGATGCACAGAGAGTTCCAAACAAGAGGAATCCAACAAGACTCAAACCAAGACATATTGCAATTAAAATGGCAAAAGGTAAAGAGACAATCTTAAAGGGAGCAAGAGAAAAACATCTAGTCAAAAACAAAGGAAACCCCATAAGGCTTTCAGCTGATTTCTCTACAGAAACTTTATAGGCCAGAAGGGAGTGGCGGGTTATATTTAAAGTGCTGAAAGAAAGGAACCTACAACCTAGAATACTCTGTTCAGAACTGAAGGAGAGATAAAGAGTTCCACAGATTAGCAAAACTCAAGGAGTTCATCACCACTAAACTGGCTTTACAAAAACATGCTAATGGTTTTCAGCAGAAAAGGTCATAACCAGAAATAAGAATATATGAGACAATTCTGTTTGCTCCACATCCACCCAACAGGTATCATCGGGCTCTGAATGTAGATTGCCACAGCAGCTATTCCAGTGATTCCCTTCATAACTGGAATAACTGTTGGTGATGTTCTTGCCATGTGCCACTGCCCTTTGGCAAGAGTGAGTCCAGAGTTTCTCTGGCCAGGAGCCTTCCCTGAGTGCTTAGCTTGGTGGAGCTTATCATTACCAAGGCTGGATTTTCTCTGGGCACAGTTCTTTACCAGGACTCTCAGTTTCCTTACGGCTGGTGAAATACCCGCTCGTTTGGGAAATCATAGTATCTGTACCATGGGCCCTCAGATCACTCACATCCAAACATTACTTTTTGCCCAACCAATGAATGCACTAAATATCTGCTTCAGTACTGGCAGCCTGCCATCCAGACAAACTGTACCGTTTTCTGTTCCTGCTCATTGGGGACATGCCTTGGCTACAATCAATGAAAATCTTTTCCGTTTTTTCCAGGCTGGTACTGGAAGTGGTATTTTGTGCTTATTTATATTGATCTGACTTTTAGTGAGGTTGAACTTTTTTATATATATATAGAGAGAGAGTATATCCACCTCTTGTATTTCTTCTTTTGTGAATTGGCTGTTCATTTATTTGACTCATTTTTCTGTTTGGAGACTTTTGTTGATTAATTTTTATAACAGTTTTACTAAGATTTTCACTTACTGTACAATTCATCCTTTGAAAATATACAATTCAGTGGTTTTTAGTATATTCACAGAGTTGTGCAACCATCACAATATCTACTTCCAGAGCATTTTCATTATCCCAGATAGAAACCCACTGCCCATTAGGAGTCACTCTGTCTCCACCAGCCAGAAAAACACTTTCTATCTTTATGGATTTATCTATTCTGGGCATTTCATATAAATGGAATCAGGAAAGAAAGAAAAAAGAAAATACATGAAAAGAAAAACCTCACCAGTAAAGGCAAATCTATCTATATAAAAAGCCAACAACCGGAATGACCGGTCACTATGATGCCCACTGCGGCCAGCGAACCTGCCCGATGGGGGATGGGGCCGGCAGGCCAACCCCCCGCGGCCCTTCCCCCCGGCCA